AAAGGCAGATTCGAGGTACGTATATACCCCAAAGTCCTCCCTAAAGCAGAGCAGCCTCACGAAATAATCGCAATAATTTTCCAAGAAGCCTCATCCGTTTTCGGGATATTGGGCATTTAAGAAAGTTAGTGACCGCAGAGCTCAACAAAGGCTTCCATCCGGCGCAGCGGCCATGCCACTTCGTCTTGTTCGGGCTTACCCATACATCCTGACCGTGTTTGGGGTTTAGGTTCAGGCCTGCTCAGGATTCAACGGTTTTAGGGTTTAGGGGAAGCCAGCATTTGCTCCCGGAATGCTTCATTCAAACCCAGACAGCCTAAAATGCAACTCCAAAACAAATATGGTAACATCAGGGTGTTGTTGCTCGCACAGAGCTTGGCGGGTTATTGTAGTATACGTGTAGAGGAACTCTTCGGGGACATGAAAGTAGTCAGACCTCGATCTGTCTTATCCCTACACTACAAGTAAGGATGCCCCGCAAGTTCTACATACCATCCCTCGGCTTCGGTCTACACTACAAGTAAGGATGCCCCGCAAGTTCTACATACCATCCCTCGGCTTCGGTGGAAGATCACAAGGCCTTATATCAGCCCCAAAGCACGGCTTGAAACACGAGAACAAGGTTTCTATCAGAGTTACCATAGAGGCTAATATACACGCTGCTATGGAGATTCCTGTTTCATACCTATCTTGAATATCGGAGGCGGTACAACCCGAAGCTCAGAATTTGGAGAGCGTCTTGTAACAGTAAGCTTTATTAAAGGCCCGTCTCCCTAACTTTCATGCGAAGCAAGAGCATCAATACCCAGATGCTGCTGTAAACTCTGGTTCCAGCATGTGCAAGCGTTCAAACCTTTGTCCTAGGTAGTATTAGGGAGGCCCCTTAAAGGGGACTCTTCTTAACCCTACTTATGGCTCGCTTGAAAGGGACCTTATTGAGAGGGTCTATATCCGCAAAATCCTGACTCCTGATTGGAAGAGCCGCTAGCCCCTAAACGAATCAAGCCTCCTGCCGTTTTACAGACGCTAGCAAAGCAGCCGCAAACAGTTCCAAAAAATGAATCCCCAGGTGATCCTAGGATCCGGACTCAAAACCCTAAACCCTAAATGAATCCCCAGGTGATCCTAGGATCCGGACTCACTTTGTGCTATTGCTCCCTGGCGGTGCAGCAGCTCCCCCTGGAGGAGTCCCACAGTCTGAGCATAGGCTGGGAGAGAGTGGAAAGATAGAATTTAGGGTTTAGGGCTTAGGGTTTAGGTTTTAGGGTTTAGGGTTTAGGCTCTCCTTAGGAATGGTTTCTCATGTTGCAAAATATATAAACCAAGATGAATTAGAACAGCATATGTTTCTTATGTGTCCAATGCGCTTAGAGTATAGAGCCGCAGGGGTAGTTATTCGGCGTGCGGTTGTTATAGGGGTTCGGTTTCAGGCGGTTGAGGGTTTTGGGATGTGTCGTGTGTTTCGTAGTTTTCTGAATTCCTACACAGCAACTGCCGGCCATCCTAACCCTAAACCCTCACCATTGTCATCACCATGCCCGCTCGGCGCTGTCACAGCAGCCTTCGGTTGTCGTCGTCATCACCTCGCCGCAAGGACATCACATGCTGTCGCATTGCTACCAAGTACTACTTAGTAGCTGAGTGAGTACACTTTACACTTTTGGGGATAATATGATTCTTGGTAGAACTGAAAGTGTACACTGTTTGGGGCTTATGAACTCAGCAACTAAGACTAAGTAACCCTAAACCTTAAACCCTAAACTAAGTACTGGTGCCGAAGAAAAGTTGTTCTTCAGGCAGAGTCATCGAGTGCCTCAACTCTACCACTTGAGAGCAGTGTACCATCCGGTTTAGGTTTTGGGGTTTAGGGTTTAGGGTATGGTGTGGTATGCCGGTGCACAAGTCAGCACAGGCAAGCGGTATGGCAAACTGCTTGTGCCTTCTTGCATATGATAATATGCGGTTGGGGGGGGGGTGTCTTGCCCCCAGCTTCAGCGCCCACCAAAACAAACGCTTGCAAGAGTCGGTACTTCGAAGGAAGCATTCAAATTTCAACGAACCTCTAAAGCACCACAGTAGCCCAAGGCAGCCTCGTTACAAATGCAGCAACGGCCACTACCACCAATCCACAATCCTAAACCCCGAGACCTAGGCGGGAGGCTAGATCCGTGCGAGCTTCTGCGAGTGCAAGTGTCGAAATCCGAATAGTCCCAGCTAGACGGGGAAAAAGCCAAAACCCTTTGGACACCCCTTGAGTTCTGCATCTTGGGGCCTTTGCCCACATGTGATGCTGCACTGCTTCTGCAGGCATCCTCATGGCGATTCTGTCTCGGGCTTAATTATGTGGTGAGGGTGAGTCTAGGGACTGGGGTATGTACAGGATACGTGTATGAGGCTTCTTTGACTGATTAATTCACATAGCTTTGCTCATCGTTCTTATTCATTCAGTTGGTTAGTCAGCGAGCTGGCCAGCCACCCACGTCTCAGACACTGCCCTCACACTCGGATGTTTGCTTTCAAAGCTTGTGGGCTTTGGACCAAACTGCCGGACAAAGCTGAGGTGCGCAATGTCCGTCAACATGTTCGTCACTCCGGTCGTTGCTTGGTATCCCTGTTGGGCTTTGTGGTCTTCGTGTCCCTCAAAAAACCAAACACACACATTACATGCGCTCTAAACTTTTCGCCTAGAGACCCGACTGTAGGGGCCTTAATAATTACCTATACTATTGTGGGGGTTCCTTATATTAAATATAGTATAATATACCCCAAAACCCTATTCCAATTATTAAGGCCCCCTTCATTAAATTCAACACCAGGTAAGTATGCGGCTTAGTATACTCTGAGAATCATAACCCGGCTTTACCTTCCACAGGCTTTACAATCCTTCACTAACCATATCAGGC